TTCGCGACCTTGAGACTTTCCACTCACTACAGTCCTAGGGGGTAAAGAAGCAGCAACATCCATTTTACAGGTAAGAAAAGTGAGGCTGCAGGAGATAGGGTGGCCAATGGGGACTATTTATCCACTTAAGATCAGCTACTTAAAGTGCAAAGCATGACCACTGACGACAAGAGCTAGGTACCTGTCAGTACCTGTCAGTTATTTTGCTTAATGACATAATCCTTAAGAAAGGAGAGCATAACTCTCCTCAAGTAGGGGCTGTGCATAGTGACTTTGTAAAGAGGACAGTATGGAAAGGGATGGGGGGGTTGTTGGGAGGAAGAGTAATTGTACAGTGGAGAAACTGACAAATACTACCTCAGCCACATAATCAAGACAACATCAAAAGTCGTAAGTCATGATGGTACCATGTATCCTTGATATGATGTGATGGAAATGGCACTTTACCTCTGTGGTCTTTCTCCCCAGTACCCATAACCTTAGTCTAATCATGAGAAAAGCATTAAATTCCAACAGAGGGCATCCAACAGTATACCTGACCAGCAATCCTCAAAACTCAAGATCATCAAAAACAAGGAAAATCTGAGAAAGAATAACAGCCAGGAGTAGCCTAAGGACACATGACAACGTAATGTAATGTGATTTCCTGGATGAGATCCTGGAACAGAAAAGAGACATTAGGTAAAAACTAAGGAAATATGAATAAACTGTTTACTTTAATCGTATATCAATATTGGTTCCTTAATTGTAACAAATGTTCCATACTAATGTGATATGTTAAAGATAGGTGAAACTTAGCGTAGGGTATGTGGGAACTCTGTGCTATCTTCACAATTTCTCTGTGAATCTAAAACTGTTCTAAAAAATAAAGTCTAAAAAAATTGACTTAATAACAGTATAACAGCTATGGAAAACAATATGAAGTTCACTATTATATGATCCAGCAATTCCACTTCTGGTTATATACCCAAAAGAATTAAAAGCAGAGTCTCAGAGACATATTTATACATCTGTTTTCATAGCAGCACTATTCATAGTAGCCAAGAAGTGGAAGCAACTCAACTATCCATCCATGGATGAATGCATAAACGAAAGTGGGATATATGTACAGTGGAATGTAATTCAGCCTTAAAAAGGAAGGAAATCCTGTTGCATGCTACAGCATGGATGAATCTTGAGGGACATTAAGTGAAATAAGCCAATAACTAAAAGACAAATACTTATGATTCCACTTATGTGAGATCTAAAGTAGTCAAATTAATAGAAACAGAAAGGAGAATGGTGGTTACCGGGGCTGGGAGGAGGGAAAAGGGGGACTTGTTTAACGGGTATAGTGTTTCAGTTTTGCATGAAGAAAAAGTTCTAGAGATCTGTTGCACAGCAATGTAAAAATATTTAGCACTACTGAACTGTACATCTAAATACTATTAAGATATAAGTTTAATGTTATGTGTTTTTTACCACAATAAAAAAAGAGATGACTTTTGGTCATAAACTAATAAACTAATGGTGCAGAAATTTGGAAAAAAATAAAAACAATAATAACCAGCCAGTATCTGGTGAAAAAAAGCTTTGGAGAGTGACAACTGGGAATGAAACCTCAAACCTGTCATTTACCAGCTGTGTGATTATCCATCACTTCCTCTCTCAAAAGAGCCCAAATTGCCTCTTTTGTAAAATACATGCAAGTACTTACTTTGCTGGGTTGTTGGGAGGATTAAACTGAAAAAAATCTACCGTATTTCCCAAACTTCCCTAATGCTAAGACTCTCTCAGAATGCTTGTTCAACATCATTCCAGAGCCCCACCTGAAACCAAATTACCAAGGAAGGGCCTGACAGCCTGCATTTTCTGGAGATGAAAAAATACTTGAATTTCTACTTACTTATTTTTATTGAAGTATGGTTGACTTACAATGTTGTATTAGTTTCAGGTGTACAGCAAAGTGATTCCATTATACATATATACATTTTCAGATTCTTTTCCATTGTAGGTTACTAAAAGATATTGAATATAGTTCCCTGTGCTATACAGTAAATCCTTGTTGTTTAGCTATTTTATATATAATAGTGTGTGTCTTAATCCCAAGCTCCTAATTTATCCCTTTCCTCCACCCCTTTCCCCTTGGTAACCATAGTTTATTTTCTATGTCTGTGAGTCTATTTCTAGTTTGTAAGTAAGTTCATTTGTATCATTTTTTTAAATTCCACATATAAGCAATATCATGTGATATTTGGCTTTCTCTGACTTAATTCACTTAATATGATAATCTCTAGGTCCAGCCATGTTGCTGCAAATGGCATTATTTCATTCTGTTTTATGGCTGAATATATATATACACACACTACATCTTCTTTATCTGTTCATCTGTCAGTGGACATTTAGGTTGCTTCCGAGTCTTGGCTATTGTAAATAGTGCAGCTTTGAACGTTGGGATGCATGTATCTTTTCAAATTAGAGTTTTCTCTGGATATATGCCCAGGAGTGGGATTGCTGGATCTCATGGTAACTCTGTTTTTAGTTTTTTAAGGAACCTCCGTGCTGTTCTCCATAATGGCTGCACCAAACTACATTCCTACCAACAGTGTAGGAGGGTTCCTTTTCTCCACATCCTCTCCAGCATTTATTATTTATAGACTTTTTAGTGATGGCCATTCTGACTGATATGAAGTGATACCTTATTGTAGTTTTGATTTGCATTTATCTAATAATTATTGATATTGAGCATCTTTTCCTACGCCTGTTAGCCATTTGTATGTCTTCATAAAAATGTCTGCTTAGGTCTTCTGCCCATTGGTTGATTTGTTTGTTTGTTTGTTTCACTTTAAGCTGTATGTGCTGTTTGTATAAAATGAATCCCTTGTTGGTCTCATCATTTGCAGGTATTTTCTGGCATTCCGTAGATTGTCTTTTCATTTTGTCTGTGGTTTCCTTTACTATGCAAAAACTTTTAAGTTCAATTAGTTTCCATTTGCTCATTTTTGCTTTTATTTCCATTACTCTAGGAAATGGGTCAAAAAGAAATATTGCTGCGATTTATGTCAAAGAGTGTTCTGCTTAGTTTTTCTCTAGGAGTTTTAGAGTATCCTGTCTTCCTTTAGGTCTTTAATCCGTTTTGAGTTCATTTTTGTATACAGTGTTAGAGACTGTTCTAATTTTACTCTCTTACATGTAGCTGTCCAGTTTTCCCAGCACCACTTATTGAGGAGATTGTCTTTTCTCCATTGTGTATTCTTGCCTCCTTTGTCGTAGATTAATTGACCATAAGTTCATGGCCTTATTTCTGGATTTTCTATCCTGTTCCACTGATATATGTGTCTGTTTTTGTGCCTGTACCATATTGTTTTGATTTTTGAAGCTTTGTAGTATAGTTTGAAGTCAGCAAGTATGACTCCCTAGTTCTGTTCTTTTTTCTCAAGATTGTTTTGAGGGGTGGGAATGGATAAATTGGGAGTTCAAGATTTGCAGATACTAACAACTATATATAAAATAGATAAAAACCAAGTTTCTTCTGTATAGTACAGGGAACTACATTCGATATCTTATAGTAACCTATAATGAAAAAGAATATGAAAACAAATACATGTATGACTAAAACATTATGCTCTACACCAGAAATTGACACATAATAACTGACTATACTTCAATTAGGAAGAAAGGAAAGAAAGAAAGAAAGAAAGAAAGAAAGGAAGAAAGAAAGGAAGGAAGGAAGGAAGGAAG